GAAGGCTATACCAGTGGTGATATCAGGAAAGGCCTCTGCAGTGATTTCCAGCATGGAGGGAGTGGCTGATCTTACTGGGGAAGTGTGGAGCCTTTGAAAGGGATAGTGCTGTGGGGCCAGCACTGTGGTGCAGTGGGTTAAAGCCCTGGCCTGAAGTGCTGGCATCCCATACAGGAGCCGGTTCAAGTCCCGGCTGCTCCTCTTCCAATCCTGCTCTCTGCTGTGGCCTGGGAAAGCAGTAGAAGATGGCCCAAGTCCTTGCGCCCCTGCATATGCATGGGAGACCCTGAAGAAGCTCCTGGCTCCCGGCTTCAGACTGGCGCAGTTCCCAGCCATTGCGGCCAATTGGGGAGTGAACCAGCAGATGGAAGACCTCTCTTTCTGTTTCTACCTCTCTCTGTAATTCTGTCTTTCAAATAAATCTTACAAAAAAGAAAGGGATAGAGTTGGGATGGGATTTATTTGAAAGATTTATTGGCAAACATCTGGTTGTCTCCATTCCATGTTTCAGAGTCCCAGGTTTTCCCCAACACCATGGAGCTCATCTGTGTGTATTCTCTACTGCAGAAGAAAAGGGATTCTTTGCTACCAAAAAGGCCTTATGAGTCTTGGATGTTAACTGATTATTAAGGGTACTCAGTCCCTAATTATCTACTTGCAGAGCATTAATACCTTTATCACCTACCCAGCTCCAAGCTCTCAAATTTCTGAATCTGTTATCTGCAAGACTATTCCCCTCTACTCGGGCATTTTTAGCCCGGCTCAGCCAAAGTTGTGGGTATTTGGGGGAGTGAATCAACAGATGGGAGACAGTGCTCCCTCCCTCTCTCTCTCTCCTTTTAAATAAGTTTTTAAAAAAATCTAAAACAAAAAAAGGGAGTTTACTTCTAAATCCAGTATCTGGGCCCATGGAGCATCACTTCTGATTTTTTCATTTTGTTCCTGAGAGTGACGCTTTCCTGTTTCTTTGCATAAATTACCACTTTTGGTTGAAAAATATATATTTTATATAGTACAGTAAAGCAATTATAGATGCTATTGTATTTTTCCTGTTGGTGTTGGTGTTTTTTTTTTCTTTTTAGTCATCTGCCCAGATTTAAATAAATTTAAAATCTGTCATAGGGCAAACAATTGGCCTAGTGGCTAACATGTTAGTTAAAATTACTGCATTGCACATTGGAGCACCTGATTTGATTACTGGCTTCGGTCCCTGATATTTCCTGCCAACGCAGACTCTGGGAGGCCGCAGCTGATCTCAAGTGACTGGGTCCCTGACATCCATATGGGAGACCTGACCTGCGTTCCTGCCTTCCAGCATCAGCCTCTGTGTTGCTGTCTCCTAGCCCCATCCCTTGGGAACATTTTGGGAGTGAACCAGCAGATGGTAACTCTCTGTCTCTGCATCTCAAATTAAAAAAAATTAAAAGTCCCATGTTATATGGCTTCTGGTATTTCTGCTGTGCTTTTCCCTTTTTTTCCCTCTGTGTTTTAAAGTTTCATTTTTAGTTTTCCCCGACTTTTTGGAGCACCCTTGTATTTACACAGATGAATAGTCAGCCAATGACTTGGGAAGAGATTGTACTCAAATGCTTTTAGCTGTAAGTTTCCTTCTCTGTGCCAACTGATGTGTGTGTGTGTGTGTGTGTGTGTGTGTTGAGGAACACATTCAAAGTTGCTGCATGTTCTCAAATCCCCCTTGGTTTTCTCTTTTCTTTTTTTTTTTTTTTAAGATTTATTTATTTTAAAATCAAAGTTACAGAGAGAGAGAGGGAGAAGTCTTCTGTCTACTGGTTCACTCCCTAGAGGGCTACAACAGCAAGAACTGGGCCAGGCTGAAGCCAGGAGCCAGGAGCTTCACCTGGGTCTCCCACGTGAACGGCAGAGTCCCATACAATTGGGCCATTTCCGCTGCTTTCCCCAGACCATCAGCAGAGAAATGGATTGGAAGTGGAGCACCCGGGACAGGAGCCCATATGAGATGCTGGCATCGCAAGCAGTAGCTTCACCTTTACACCCGCCCCAGGCTTTCACTTTTCAAGGGGTCTCTTGTATCAATCTGACCAAGCACACAGGCACCCAGCCTGTCAGACCTCATTTCTAAAACTTCCGTTACATTTGTAGCTGGGCTACAAACAAAGCTGTGGGTTTTCCCTTTGCATTTTCACATGCGTGTCAGTTTCAACTGGCAAAGCCTTGGGTTTTTGACCTCTCATGACAAACTGATAATACCCTCTGGCAGCAAAGCTGCTAGTGGTTTCTTTTCTTTCTTTTTTTTTTTTTTTTTGCTAGCCCTACCCATACCAGCATACTACATTTCTGGTGCAACAGAGTGGTAGAGAAGCACCTCAAGTAAGAAGTCCACAGACACCTATGGAAGTTCTAGTAGCTTTTTTAAGAAAGAAGTTTCTGAGATTGTTTCCTAAATTTGGTTGATTTCCAACATTCTGAAACGGTTTTTGCCGATTGTATGCATTTTCTTTTTTTTAATTTCAAAAAGAGACAGAGTGAGTGAGTGAGCAGGCACGCTCCCATCCACTAGTTTACCCCCAAAATGTCTGCCAAAAGCCAAGGCTGGGCTAGGAATGAAATCTAGGTCTCTCACATCGAACCCAATTATTTGAGCCTTCTCCACTGCCTCCTAGAATCTGCATTAGCAGGAACCTGGAGTCAGGAGCCAGAGCCGGGAATGGAACTCAGGAAGAGAACTAAGGAACTTCTACATGGGATGCAAGTGTCCTTACTGGCACTTTAACTGCAAGGCTAAACACCTGCCCCTGTCCAGTTTTCAACTTGTTTTGTGTGCAGAGACTTGCTAACCATGCCACACAGCCATAGCGGACAGTCCCTTCCAGCTTCTTTTTAAGCAGGTCCTGTATTGGGCAGGACCTTTCAGTGTCATGTAAAAGAAATCCAACTGAATTAGTTAGAGACTTTTAGAGGTGGCTTAAACAACCCAGGACATATATGGCTCAGTTCTGAACAATCTGTAGACTAAGCCTTGCTCACACTTCTGAAGAGTCTAGAGAACAGTCTATACCATCAAACAGGTGAGGCTGGATACTGCAGCTCTAATGATACCACCCAACACAAGGTTCTCCATCTTCCAGCCCTCAGTGACAGCACGGCCTTCCTCCCCAGGCTTCTTCCGTCTCCCGAGGCTTTCCCCTTACAGGAACAAAATGGCCGCCACATTCCCAGACCTTATATATTCCCACCTTACCAGGGCTGCTTAGGAGCAGCCCAACTCAAGTCTCTGCGGGCTCACTGGTTGACTAGATTACCTCTCCATCTCTGAAACACTCACTCACCAAAAGGCATGGTTATGCTCCATGGCTTAAGTGAGAGGAACAAGCGATCAGAAGGCAGCCAACAAATACACATAAATTAGTTCTCTATCCACACAAATTAGCCAACAAATACACCTAAGTTAGTTCTATATCCACACAAACTAGCCCAAATAAACAAACGTATCAGCTCACCTATTTAGGTTCATCTGTTCAGGGCACTTAATAAGGAAAAGCTGCACAACTATGGGTCTTGAATGAAACCTGAGTCCATTCCACCAGCTCTTGCTTTTTCATTTTCCCTTTTTTCCTTGTTCTTTCCCCCTCTGTTTTGACCTCATTCATTTCTACCAGGAACTGGATATTTGATGTTGCAGGAAACATGACTATCAGCAATGACTTCAGTAAGACTCATCCTTGCCTCTACTTCTAGGCGTCAATACAGCACTTCCAGGCAAGGGTTCTGGAATGTCTACCTTGGGTCAGTGCCTATCTTTTGGCCTTACTAGTGTTGTCAGAGGTAAAGAGAATTGTGATGGACAGGTTCACAGGCGGCTCCCTGAGGTCAGAGGAGACTGTTCTATAGTACCACGAGGGTAAAGAGCAGCTTTTTTTGGAATCTTGTCATCCAACTGGGGGAGGCTAGTCAAAGACCGGCTGAAGAGGCTGAAATTTAGGTACAAGTACAGATTGATGGTCAGATCTGATGAAAGCTGACCTGGGGTCAAGTCTCTGCAAGATGGATTGTAGCGGTCAACTCAACGAGGTCAAGAAGAGATTGTGGCAGGTAGGAACGGAAGTGATTGTGAAGGATCATCTATTACAGATCCCATCTTTCCTCTAACACATTGCCTAATTGTCTAAGACAAGAGGACTTCAAAACAGTCCTGGTTTCCTGGTTTCCAGCTTTCAGTATGCATTAGGGGAATAATTCTTCAAGCCTTTGTGGAGGACTTCAGGAGTAAATTCACTTCTCTGTATTTGCAAACTAAATGTGAGGCTGGACAGTTTTATTTCAGGCATCACTTTGCAAAATGCTGAGCCAAACGGTGGTGGAAGACAGCAGACTCACTGTCCCCAAGAACCAACACCCATTTTAGGAACTGGATGGACTGTCCCGATACAGGCCCACGGCGTTTCTCTTCTCCAAAACCCAAGAGCCACACTCCTCACTCGGTCAAAGCCGGGGGTGGGGTAGGGTGGGGGGTGGGGGGTTGGGGGAAGATGCCCCACCCCGCGGCAGATGGACCGGTTTAACTGGTTAGAACGACTGAAGCCCAACTAACAAAAAAGGTCTCAACTTCTGTGGCTGAAGAACAGCTTGGCCAGGGCACCAAGAGCAAAACTCCTTTCTTCTTCAAGATCACCAGCCGACCTACCCCAAACCACCCTGGCCAGGATTTGCTTGAGGTAGGTGCATGTCCCACCCAGTCCCTCAAGACTAGGCACTGCGCAGGCGTCCGCAGAGCCACCAGACCTCGGCGCGTTCTCCTTCGGAACCCAGGGGCAGGAGAAGGCGCGGTGCCTTCTGGTTGTTGTAGTTTATTTCCTGGAGGAGAGACCCTCGGGATGACCAGGCTGTGGAGTTCTCAGAACTACGCTTCCCAGCATGCTCCACGCCAGGGCACAGGGCGTGAGCGGAGAGAGGAGGGCCCGGCAAGCCGGCTGCGGCGGGAGGAGGGAGTGCGCGTGCGCGCTGGACCGGCTCGTCCTGTTCCGTCCCAATCATTGTAAACAGGCGGAGGCTGGGCGGGGTGGGAATGGGGCGCCCGAGGCTGGGTAGGGGTGCAGTGCAGGAGGCGGCTGCGGTGGCTGCGGCGGGAGCGTGAGCGGGAGGAAGCGGCGGCTGCGGCGGTGCGGGCGGTCGCGCAGCGGCAGGCACAGGTCAGTCGCGCGAAGCGGTCGCATGCGGGGGTCGCGGGCGATGCCCCTGGCATGCCGAAGGAGCCCGCTCCCGCTCCGGCCTCGCGCCGGAGTCTGTCAGGCAGCGTGCGGGGCTCGGCGCTCGCAGCGGCAGGGTGTGGAGTTGGGGGTGGGGGGCGTGGCTGCCCTTAGTGTGGGTTCCTCCCAGGAAGGCTTCGGCCCCTCTGCTTGCCCGGCTGGGGCCCGTCCGCCCCACTTGCCGGACAGGCCTCCCTAATGGCACCCGCGTTTGTGATGTGCTGCTCTGGGGCCCCTCCCCGCCGGAGTTCCCGGGCCTCCGGAGAGCTGCCCGGGGCACACCTGGCCGGGGAAGAGACCAGCGTCGCTTTCTCAGCCCTCGCTGCGGTGAGTCGCACCCGAGTTCACCTGTCTCCCTGCTCGCCCGGCGCCCTGCGAAACGGCTCTCGGGGTTGCCCACCACTGGCGCTGAGCAAGGGGGCGCCTGGGGGTGCTACGGACCCCAGTTCAGCTTTCAGTGGGAATGGACAGACGGACCTCGAGTGGAAAAGCCCTTTCACCGCTCATTTCCAAGTTCGTTGTGCCAGAACGCTCTTAACTGCGGTCAGCGGTCTCTCTCCTCCCCTTCTCTCTCGGTCTTTAAGTGAATCGCGAGAGTGAAACAGGTTTTTACAGACTGGTTCACACCTCAGGCTTCCCCGAAGTAATTAAGCTGTTTCAAGTTTGCGGATTCGTTACTGCGGAGCTTCCCTCTTGAGCAAGCAGCGTTGTTTGCTCCCAGGCCTAGGAGCCTTCTTGAAGATCATTAAAACTTTAACCCAAGGTACTTCCAGCATTCTTGGAAGAGAAGTACAGGCGTCCGCACAGTGAGTTGGAGCACCACCTTGCCTCATTAGAAAAGCTTTCATGGATTTATTTATTTATTTATTTATTTATTTTTTTTGCTTAATGGAGCGGACATGTTCTAATGCTGCAGTACTTTCGGTGGCATTCCATCCTCCTTGCAGTTATTCATAAAATGTTTTAAGTGGAGTTAAGGAATAGGCCTACTTTTGGTTTGGTGCTAACTTCTAAATGACTCAATCGGACAGTGAATGAGAAAGTAACTTCACTTTCTGTCTTTAAAATTGTTTTGGTGATTTGGTAATACTTTATGGAGTATTTGCCTGAAAAGGAGTAATTACTGTCAGCTTTATTGGCAGAGGGATGGGTTGGAAGTCTGTAGAATGGTTCCCACTTTTCAGGCCCTGTGCCACAGAGCTAAGTGGAGGAGGCTAGTTTAATAGTAACTGTTGAGAAGTAATTCTTTAAACAAAGTATGTAGAAACAATGTAATGCTTGGGTAACCAGACTTGCTGTTCCTACAAAATATTATTTCTTAGAGCTTCCAGAGGGAGCATTTATTCCTTAGTTTAGAAAGAAAGGATATTAGAAGATGCGTGTTAACTTTAATTTGTACAGGTCTGTTTGCGTAGTTGTTCGCTTGGTGAGCACAGGTTGGATCCAAGAACGTAGCCTGAAAGTATACTCTTACTTTTTAAAAAGAATGATCCTTGTTAGATACTTCTATTGGTATAGGTGAGAAGAAGTCAGGAAAAATGCGGATTATTTAAAATACAGGAATTACTTTGTAGGAGGTACTATGCCGGGTGAAGAGGGTTTGAATATGGATAAGGCAGTGTCCCTGCCTTCTGGGTAGTGGAGCTTTTATCTCTTAACTTGAACTGTCAGCAAGTGCAATATGTTTTTGAGATTGCTTTGAGTGGAGAAAGAATGGAGGAATAGCAAGTATACAAAGGAGGTACTGTCAGTTTCTTAGAGAAGCAAAGGAGAGGGTGAGGAAGGGAGCAGTGGTAGAAAAAAACTAGGTGTGGAAGGTGATGAAAACAGGTAGACAGACATAGAAAGAAGGAACCTTTAAGTTGAAGCAGCAGTCTTAAATTTAAATTGCATAGTAGGGTCTGCAGGTGTGAGTAGCTATAGTGCAGGGTGGTGGCCAGACAAAAATTGGGGCAGTAGACAGAGACCAAATTATGGATAGTTTTGTATTACATTGAAGTAATTTCAGCTTTTATCTTTTAAGCAAATAGGAGTCATTGAGACAAGAGAGAGACCAAAGTTGGCTCACTCCATTTTAATTTAAAATTTTGTTACTTTTTAATATTTTCAATTTATTTGAAAGGCAGAGAATGAGATTGAACACCCCGTCCCCTGGTTCACTCCCCAAATGGCTGCAGCAGCCATGGCTGGGTCAGGCCAGAGCCAGGAGCCTGAAACTCCATGTGGGTCTCCAACATGGCTGGCAGGGGCTCAACTACTTGAGCCGTCTTCTGCTGTTTTCGCAGGCACATTAGTAGCAAGCTGAATGGGAATCGGAGTGGCCAGGACGTGAGCTGATGCTCCAGTATGGAATGCTGGCATTGTGGAAGGCGGCTTAGCTCACTGCACCAGAATGCTGGCCCCTCACCCCGTTTTTAACCCCTGCTGTGTGCCATGCACTAAATCAGCTATGTGTTTTGTGTCCTGAAGCTTAAAGAAGGCACAGGTGTGACTGAAGCAGAAATTGAAGAAAAAGGAACTTAGGGCAATGGGAAAGTTGGATAGAGACATGTAGTTGAGAGAGAGCTTGGAAACTTTTTAAGAACTCATAGCTGTTGCATCATTGGTTATTGGGGTAAGTAGCCAAAGATGTGACTGCACAGATAGGTCCTCAAGTGTATTGCATACTATTTTAAGGATTTTAGAGTTTTTTTTTTTTTTTTGAGCGTTATAATAGAGTTTATATTTTTGTTTTTTTTTTTCTTAAGATTTTATTTATTTATTGAGAGGTAGAGTTACAGACAGTGAGAGGGAGAGACAGAAAGGTCTTCTTCCATCCACTGGTTCACTCCCCAAATGGCTACAACGGCCAGAACTGAGCTGATCTGAAGCCAGGAGTTTCTTCGGGGGTTTCCTTCATGGGTGCAGGAGCCCAAGCATCTGAGCCATCTGCTGCTGCTTTCCCAGGTGCATTAGCAGGGAGCTGGATCAGAAGTGGAGCAGGGCTGGCACCGTGGCTCACTAGGCTAATCCTCCGCCTTGCGGCGCCAGCACATCGGGTTCTAGTCCTGGTCAGGATGCCAGATTCTGTCCCGGTTGCCCCTCTTCCAGGCCAGCTCTCTGCTGCGGCCAGGGAGTGCAGTGGAGGATGGCCCAAGTCCTTGGGTCCTGCACCCCATGGGAGACCAGGATAAGTACCTGGCTCCTGGCTTCGGATCAGCGTGGTGCGCCAGCTGCAGTGCGCCGGCCGTGGCGGCCATTGGAGGGTGAACCAACGGCAAAGGAAGACCTTTCTCTCTGTCTCTCTCTCTCTCTCACTGTCCACTCTGCCTGTCAAAAAAAAAAAAAAAAAAAAAGAAGTGGAGCAGCCCCAGGACTTGAACCAGCATCCATATGAGTTGGTGGCACTGCAGGCAGCAGTTTTATCTGCTACACCACAGTGCTGGCCCCAAGTTTATGGATTTTTAATCAGAAAAGAGACATGACAAGGTTTTCATTTTAGAAAGATCAGTTTGAAATTGCAGAGTATTGATTTCAGAAGGGGTGAAGAGAAGGTAAGATTGGATGCAGAAAAACTGGCTAGAAGGTTTTCCCAATAATTGAGGTCAAAGATCAGGGTCTAAGGCACTGCCGTTTAGGATTTGGAGGAGTTGGTTAATAGATATTTCAAAAGTAGAATTTGTAGGATCCTGCAACAGTTGCATTTGGGGGCTCAGAGATAATAGATTTTTAACTTGGGTAATTGAATAGACAATGATAAATTATTTTGAGATAGGAAACTCAGGAAGAGGAGCAAGTTTTGAGGAATAACATTTTAACTTTGAGCCATATTGAATGGAAATTGTCTTGAAACATCCGAGGTGGAATCATCTGCTGTGGAGCTGAGCATGTGGGTTTGCAGTACAAGAGAGACTTCTTGATGTGGGAGTCATCAGGCTGAAGTCAGCTGAGAGCAGCTGAAGTCTGAGTAACACTACATAGAAGTGTGTACTGACAGAGTTGTCCTGGAAGCAGGCTGTGGAGGACAACATTTAAAGCCACCTTGAAGAAGAGCTGGAAAAGGAAATTCCCGTGTTTCGGGATGTAGAGAAATCAGGAGAAAATGTCATAGAAGCCAAAATGGGATCATTTTTAGAAGGAAGCTATATAGTCCTTCACAACAGACTCTTCTGAAAAAGTGAACATTAATTTATAAAAGGGAAGTCATACTTTAAGTGCTTTGGGTAGTTGAGCAAAACAAGGATTATTAGGAGCCTATTGAAAATTATAACTAGGAGATTACTGAATTTGGTAACTAAGAGCAACTTTGGTAGATTGGTTAGGTTAGGAGCCAGGTTTCATAACATTTCCCTGATGACAGTGAATATCTTTTCATGTGTTTGTTGGCCATTTGCATATTTTCTGTTGATAAATATATATTTAAGTCCTTAGTCTATTTTTAGGTTGGATAGTTTGTCTTTTTGTTATTGAGTTATTGTAAGAGTTCTTTGGGTATATGATTCATAAATATTTCTATTCTGTAGGTTGTCTTTTTTTAAATATTTTTTTAAAAGATTTATTTATTTACTTGAAAGTCATAGTTATACGGAGAGGCAGAGAGAGAGAGAGAGAGAGAGAGAGATCTTCCATCTGCTGGTGACTCCCCAGTTGGCCGCAATGGCCGGAGCTGCGCCGATCCAAAGCCAGGAGCCAGGAGCTTCTTCCAGGTCTCCCACACTGGTGCAGGGGCCCAAGGCCTTGGGCCATCTTCCACTGCCTTCCCAGGCCATAGCAGAGATCTGGATGGAGAGAGGAGCAGCCGGGTCTTGAACCGGTAGCCGTCTGGGATGCCAGCGCTTCAGGCCAGGGTGTTAACCCACTGTGCCACAGCGCTGGCCCCTGCAGGTTGTCTTTTCACTCTCTTGATAATGCACATAAGTTGTAAATTTGGAAATGTAATCTTTTTTTCCCCCAATTTTTGGTAT